AAAAGCCCCCCAGGAGGGGGGCGGGCCGGGGCGGGAGCCCCGGGCCGTCCTACTTATGACTCTTAAAAAAAATCAAATCCTGGGAACCAGCGGTTAACGTAATGGCTATGTCGCTGGACTCCCACATAGTCGACCGCAGTTCGCGTCCTGGACTCGGTGGCTTAAAACTCACGCCGGGCGCACGTGTGCTTGTGTGCCCAAGATCCCGAGAGGAGAATAGAGGAGAAGGGATTGTGGCATGACCATCCCCCCTGGGGGGTGATTTCTCACTTTCTGTCTCTCTGTCTCTCTCTGTCTGTCTGGCGAGAACATGCGCCCTATAGCGAAAACCTCTCAAAAAAAAAAAATCCTGGATTGATTGATTGACTTGCTGTTTCAGTTTTCTAGTTATTAATATATGATTTTTTAAAAAAATTTTTTGAGATATTTTTTGCTATAGGGTGCATGTGCTTGCCAGAGATAGAGAGAGACAGAGAGACAGAAAGCAAGAAATCACACCTTGTGGAGGATGGCCACGCTGCAATCCCTTCTCCATTCTCCTCTAGTATGTTGGGCATGTGCGCATATGCACCTGGCATGAGTTTAAGCCACTGGGTTTGGGACTCAACCACAGTTAACTACGTGGGAGTCCAGCAACGTAATCATTTCATGCTATGATCTCTTCTCCATTCTCTTCTTGGGATCTTGGGCATGCATGCATATGCGCTCGGCATGAGTTTAAGCCACCGGGTCCAGGACTCGAACCACTGTCTACTACATGAGAGTTCAGCGACATAGCCATTATGCCAACTGCTGGTCCCCCATTGATTTTATTTTAATTCCATCTTTTGCAGGATCATTTGTTACTGCTTTTCTAGCTCCTTGAATTTACTTCTTATTAATATATTTTCACTGTTTCATGTTTGATAATGAGGTTGTCTTGATTGCAATGAGTTTTTTTTGGGATACAGATTGAGCCATAATTTTTAACTTTTGATATATTAATGTTCATAATTATTTGCTAAATGTTCTATAATTATGCTACGGCTTTCCTTGTTTTAAAGAATTATTTAACTTTATTTGTTTGCTTATTTTTATTTTATTTTATTTTATTTTGACCAGAGAAGGACAGAGTGAGAGAGAGAGAGGGAAAGTGAGAAAGCAGGCCACCAGGTTCGAGACTCGAACTGCAGTCAGCCATGTGGGAGTCCAGCGCCCCTTAGCTACCATGCCACCTGCTGAC